CCACGCTGGATGTCACAGTAACTCCCCTTCACTGCTCTGATCACCACTTCCTATCTTTCTCACTTCTCCTACCTGCTGCTCCTGTCCATTCCACTCCTTCACGCTCCTCTCGACGCAACCTGCACTCCACTCCTCCCTCCTCTTTCGTCTCAACTATCCTGACCACTCTTCCCCATCCTGATTCATTTTCTTCTTTCTCACTGGACACAGCTACAGATGCTTTCCTTTCTTCACTCTCATCTGCAATTAATTTTCTGTGTCCTCTCTCCTCCAGGCCAGCAAGATCTTCCCCACCTGCCCCCTGGCTGACAGGTGTCCTGCGCAGCAACCGGCAAGAACTAAGGAAGGCTGAGAGAAGGTGGCGGAAATCCCAGCTCGACTCGGATCTTCACTCCTACCAATCTCTACTTTCCAAGTTCTCACTCGAAGTTACTGCTGCAAAGTCATCCTTCTACAGAGGGAAACTGGAAGCATCAGCATCTGATCCACGCAAGCTTTTCAGCATTTTCTCCTCTCTCCTCAACCCTCCTCCTCCCCCTCCACCCTCTTCTCTCACTCCTGAGGATTTTGTCACCTTCTTTGAGGAGAAGGTTGATAGAATCCGCCAGTCTTTTCCCTCTGTCCCCACTCCTTTCACTAGACCTCCTTCTCTCGTTCTCAATCCCTTAAACTGTTTTTCTTCTCTTTCCACAGACGCTGTCCTTCAACTGATCAAATCCAGTAACCCAACCACCTGCCCACTGGATCCCATTCCATCTGCATTGTTCCAGTCAATCTCCAAGGATCTACTGCCCTTCATCACTTTTCTCATTAACAAGTCCTTGTCATCAGGTGAAGTACCATCAACTTTGAAGACTGCAAGAGTACTTCCCATCCTGAAGAAGCCCTCGCTTGACAGCTCTGATGTCAACAACTACAGACCGGTATCACTCCTTTCTTTCCTTTCAAAAATTCTTGAACGTGCAGTCTATAATCAACTGTCTCTCTTTCTCACGCAGAACCAGCTCCAGGACCCCAACCAGTCTGGCTTCAAACCAGCGCACTCAACAGAAACTGCTCTTATAGCAGTGACAGAGAAGCTCCAGTCAGCAAGATCAGCCAGTATGTCATCTGTCCTGATTCTTCTTGACCTCTCAGCAGCTTTTGACACGGTCAACCACACAATCCTTCTGGATGTCCTCACCAACCTTGGAATCACTGGCTCTGCGTGGAAGTGGTTCAAGTCCTATCTGGAGGATCGCTCTTATCAGGTAACATGGAGAGGGTCCATATCCTCTCCATGCAGGCTCTCCACTGGTGTCCCACAAGGCTCGGTGCTAGGTCCTCTTCTCTTTTCTCTTTACACTAGCTCTCTTGGCAATGTAATATCATCTCATGGCTTCTCTTATCACTGTTATGCTGATGACACTCAACTAATGCTTTCTTTCTCACCCTCGGACACACAGGTTTCCAGTCGGATCTCGGCATGTCTGTCTGACATCTCTTCATGGATGGCAGCTCACCACCTGAAGCTCAATCCTAGCAAGACTGAGCTACTATTCATCCCTGCAACTACAGGTCCTCATCAAGATCTTGCCATCTCATTCGAGAACTCTCTGATTGTCCCGTCAGCAGAGGCAAGAAGTCTTGGTGTGGTTTTGGATGGCCAGTTATCGTTCTCGACTCACATTGTGAACATAACTCGGTCATGCAGATTTCTGCTGTTCAACATCCGGAGGATCCGACCCTTTCTCTCGAGAGAGGCCACTCAGGTGCTAGTGCAGTCTTTTGTCATCTCAAGGCTTGACTACTGCAACTCGCTCTTGGCTGGTCTTCCGATGCAGGCCATCAGGCCTCTGCAACTCATCCAGAATGCAGCAGCAAGACTCATCTTCAATCTCCCAAAGTTCAGCCACGTCACCCCACTGCTGCGCTCCCTTCACTGGCTTCCTGTAGCTGCACGCATCAGATTTAAAACCCTTATGCTTGCCTACAAGGCCAAAAATGGACCAGCCCCTCCCTACTTGATGGCAATGGTCAAATCTCGAACTGCACCACGAGCCCTTCGAGCTTCGAGTACAGCTCGGCTTGACCCGCCATCCTTCAAGGCGCGTGGAAGGCAAGCAACTAGACTGTTCTCTGTGCTGGCACCCAGGTGGTGGAACGAACTCCCACTGGCTGTCCGTACAGCAGAGTCTCTCGCTGTCTTCAAACGCAGACTGAAGACACACCTGTTTATTCAGCACTTAAATGAGCACTAAATTAAGTATTGATTGTAATGTATTGTACAGCACTTATGTATTTTATCGTATTGCACTGTTCTGTGTTTAACTCTGTCCCTTTTTCACTAGGTGTCAATGACCTTCTGATTCTACCAGTATCTGAGCTTAGGACTGACTTTCTCTCTAACCTATCGGTAGCTAGCGAAGATTCTTTCTCTGGATAGACAAAGCACTTTTTGTAAGTCGCTCTGGATAAGAGCGTCTGCTAAATGATGTAAATGTAAATGTAAATGTAATACATTTCACAGACAACTGATGATGCCGAAGTGATATTCCATTGTTTACACACAAAAAAGACTTTTCAGACTCTTTTGATCCACTGCTCACTGTACAAAACACTGTAGAGAAAACAAGAATACACACACTGCATCGATTAGTTAAACTCCATCAGCAGCATTTAATGTAATGAAGAACTGAGTAACAGAAGCAGGTATTAACTATAATTACTAGACTTCCTCAAGGAGAGCTTTGAAAATAGTTAAACTAACACACTGACGCACATAAAATCATTATTTATTGTTTTAATGTTTATTTTTATTTATTCTTATTCTTATACTGTTTTATAAACAGACCAGGGTGTGTGTGTGTTCTATAAACAATGTATATATATTTGTGTATATATATATATATATATATATATATATATATATATTAGGGTTATATTATGTGTGTGTGTATTATGTATTATATTATGTGTGTATGTTTGTGTGTGTGTGTTCGTTCTATAAACAATGTATATATATTTGTGTGTGTGTATATATATATATTAGGGGTGGGAATCTCTAGACGATTATGCTGCTCTACTTTTGAAGAAAAGTTTTCTGGCAGAGATGGGAGGAAAGCGGCTAAAGCTTAAAGCAGAGCGAAGTAAATCCGAGCTCTCGTTTAAATTGTTCAGTCTATACTAGTACATTATCACACACTGAGACATACTGGACATTAAATGTTGCAGCTCCCAAGGTGGTTTGATTTTTGTTGAAAGGACAAAATGGCTCCATTTTTGTCGTTTTCCAGTTTTCCACATAATTTTAAAGTACTTGTTTTTGTTTTTCTCTAATTTAATACAAAGTTTGTTTGTTTTTCAGCCTCACAATTTGAATGAAAAGTAAAATCTTACATAAATTTCATCATTTCTTAGTATTTGGCATATTCCCCTTTTTGCTTGGTGACAGTGTGCACTTGAGCTGTTTGTGCAAAAGCCAGTGTAATTCGTCTGTTAATGTTATGTGGAAAAATTCAGTTATTCAAATGAATGCAAAAATTATTACATTATCTCTCATGGCCTGCTTCAGTCCACTGCTACTCCCATAATCCCACTGCCCTTTCATGCCACAAAATGCATCCACAAGTCCAGTACAAAGCCAAAGCTGAGACTATGATTCATAAACATATCCACAACTGAGGACCCTGTTCAGTTCTGCCATCCCTCAAAAGAGTTTGCCAATGCTCAGATTAATAACGTCACAGTGATTTATCAGTCTACTCAGGCTTTAGCAGGAACTTCAGTGTTGCTATAGAGGCCGCTTTTAGAGCTCTTCTTTTGAGCTCTGCTATATATATATATATATATATATATATATATATATATATATATATATATTTTTTTTTTTTCATTAGTATTCTCATAAAAATGTAACTAGGACTTAACACGTTCCATCCCAACCTTAAATATTTCTTCTTCATTTTACTTTCCACAGCTTTTCTCTGTTTTAATGTTTTCAAAGTTGTAAATCTTTGTGTTGTGTTGAACACGCTTAAATACGGCATCATTCTGTATATTTTGGGACACAATTTTTCAAATTTACAGTTTAACATACTGTAATAAAATTAACAAAAATATGAAATGTGCCCTAACGTTTGCCACATTCATGTTTAGTCTCAAAACACATTAAATGACAATTTTATGAATGTTTTTTTTTCTTTTATAATATATGCTGTTACACATACAAAAAAAATATCAAGGCAATATTATGATTAATACCATCTTTATTAGGGAAATAATAATAATAATAATGTGTTTTTTAAAAGTGCGATATACATCAGATTTTTTATTCTTTTCAAGCATCTTTATATCCAAAAGTGTTAGAAATGCATATACAGCATTTTGGAATTGAACTCTTCATATATTCTCTGTCCTCTCTATAGATATTCATACATTTACAGGGATTGGAAAAAGTCAGTAGGGCTTGGGATAATTCTTGTGAAGTCTCTTGAGAAGCATAATGTTTTGGACAGAAGTCCTTCATCAGCATCTGTCAGCATCTGTCAGCACCTGTCCAGAACATCACGTTTCTAGAGAAGCTTTGTGTGCTACCTTAGAATTTTCCAAGCTCTTCATGAATTTCTGAAGTACTGCAGTTCCTCAATCACTCCCTCCATCACTCACTTCATCACTCACTCACTCCTTCGCTCACACGCTCCTTTAGTCACTCATTCCCTCACTCACTCCCTCACTCACGTCCTTACTCATTCCCTCGCTCACGCCCTCACTCACTCCTTCACTCTCTCCTTCATTCACTCCCTCGCTCGCTCTTGTATGTCACAGTTTGATAGTTCTTCACAGTATGTAGTTCATATTGAGATTAGGAGTTTCCTGGAATGTGTCATTGTAATGATTACAAGTTCAGCATATATTCACATTACTTGTACAATAGCAGCTGACGACGTTTCACTGGCTTCACTTGTTCTGAACGAACTCAAGTCCAAAAGCAACTGGAGTCTTAACACTCAGACACCGCTTTACTTGGGTTCTAGGTGCTGTGTGATGGTGGCACAGCCGTGATTGCTCAAGCTGCGCGTCATCGGCGTCTCTTCGGTCACCCGGCCGCTCGCTGGGTCAAGCGCCCACATGCGGTCAACGGCAGCTGCGAACTCATCTCGGCCTCCCACCACATACACCTTTCCATTGCACACGGTCAGCCCACAGCTTTCCTGAAATACACACACACAGCTGTGGATTATTACTGTGCTAAGGTATGCTTACAATCTGCATCCGAAATCACAAGGCACCTTATTAAACAGTATGTCAGAACAGGACACTATCATTAGTAGTGCATTCATTAGTATAGTGTGTGTATTATCCTGTGTATTAGAGGCTGCTATCTGACCCAAGCCCAATAGAGCCTGACAAAATACTGGGTTTCGGGTCAAGTCTGGGGCGACTGCCCATGTACAACATCTGGCTGAAGTCTGGCTGTGGTTTGTTTTCAAATGCACACCAGACTCTGTTTCTCTCTAGTACTGTTATAGTCTATATCTGTGTTCAGGATAGCTCCAGAGTTTGAGGAGTCGGGGCCCTGAATGAAATCAGGCATACAGTTCAACAGTATATCACTGCAACTGGGGTCGAGGTGGCTGGTAGCCTAGAGGCCGGAGAGGTGAGCCATGCACTGGAAGGTTGTGTGTTCAAATCCCATGACTGAGTAAGTATACCTGGCTGCACCCTTGGGCAAGGCACTTAACTTTGCCCCAGGTGGCGCTGCTTTGCATAGTTAGGCAGCAAAATGACAAGTTTCCCAATAACGTATATAACATAATTGTGCCCACTATTTATTCATTCCTTCATTTATGTATGTATGTATTTATTTGCACTGGTAGGTTTGCTTGAACTCACCTACTTACTCACAATATTCCCTCGTTCATGCACACTGAGTGGGCATGGTCTTTAATTTAGTATAAGCTTTTATTCAAATTTAGACCGATAGTTAAATCTGCCTTTGTGGGTTCCTTGACCTTTTGGTAGCTACAGCAGGCAGAATTAGGAAATGAATGGAGTTATTGATCAGATCCACTGAGAACGCAGATTTGATCGCTCTTCAAAAACGTCCCTCACGTTCAGCAGGAACACCGACTCTATCACAATAAAAGCCCCACATAATTTTACCATTGAATGTAATTGATCAACATACTCATTAAGCACATTATGTATTTATGCCACTACTATTATTACTATTAATACTATTATTATTATTATTATTATGTCGGCTTGAAAATGCAAGCTAATTATGTTAAAACGTTAAAATGGTGGAGGACTGTTGATGGTTGTTAAAGTGTTCTTTAGATGTTGCTAAGTGGTCGCTACAAGCAGTGCCACCTTAAATTCAGTGCTAACTTAAATTAAATTCAGTGCCACCTTCAATTCAGTGCTACCTTAAATACAATTCCACCCTAAATTCAGTGCTACCTTAAATTTCTTGATAAATTAACTGCCACCTTAAATTTACTGCCACCTTAAAAAGCACCTTTTCCTAGTATTATAGTTTACAAAGTTGAAATTAAGTTGAAGTTTATACTTGAAAAAAATGATTGGACACTTATTCCTTGCATTTTTTTTTCAACCACCTCCCCTACCATCCCCTCCCGCTTTTCACAGGTAATTTAAATATAAAACCCCTGGTATGAGGCAGTGAGTTTGACATCGGAGCTGAAGTAACTTCATCAGAGGATAAAAAAACATAAGCAGGTAAACAGCTCAGTCATCTGATACTGAGTAAAAGTCATCAGGCTGTTACGCACCACTTTCATGGGCAGGTCTGCTGCTTTGCCCCAGGTGTCGTTTCGGGGAGTGTAACAGTAGATCGTATCCAGCAGACCTCCAGCCACGTAGATGGAGCCATTGAGGGACACTGCGTTTATGCATCTCTGAGAGAACGGACAGGGCGACACGTACGTCCACTGATCCTTCATGGGGTCATAGCACTGCACCTGAAAATCAAACAGCAGATTACAACATGACTCCTAGGATATGATATTAGAGGGACCAAGTATTACTCAACTATTTTATGTTAAAGGAACCTTTTTGATGATTTTGTAGACTCAAATGGCATTTTTGAGTAGGCAACTTTGAAACTGTCACACTAAAAAAAAAACATCACTGCTGTTGGTTTTAAACGTTTTAAACGTTTCCCAAATCCCATTGTCAAATGTGTGAAACTGAGCTGTGCTGTTTAAATTAAATACAGGGACTTTTGTTTGGTCGATACAATCGTGTTGGGTAAACGTTTCTTCTTTCCCATTGGCTCTTAGCCACATCTATTTGCATACAGGGTCTTTCCCCATTGTTTCACTTCCCATCCACATGTGTTTTATTCCCCCAGGCTTACTTCCTTCAGGTGTACACATTTTTTAAATGTTTTGTTTAGCTCCCTGGCATCATGTTGTTTGTTAAAAGGGCGAATTAGCATTTTCCCTGCTGCTGAGTGTGATCCTGGGCTGGCTGGGTGACCACAGTGACCACATTCACACATAAAGGGTAACCCATCAGTGTTTGACAAAATGATCAATATTAGTTTACCGGAAATACACAATTAGCTATTAAAATATAGAGCATTCTATCAAATTAGTCCAAACTGCAGTCCCACAGTAAAAAAAAATACTATTTAAAAATATATTAAAATATTAAGATATTTAGAAGGATTATGTTATGATCTAACACAAGGCATTCATAGAGACAGTAATAAGTTCAATATACACAAAATCATCATTTATAGGGTAGTTTCTTTTGGGAGGTAGCTAACGCAAAACCCTAACCCCTGAAATTCAACTTATAATAATACTTCTATTTTATTCTTGTATTTTTTTAAATAGCTTTTTTCATTTTTGATAGTAAAGTACAACGAATTAGATTTATCATGAATTTAGTTTTTAAATAAAAACCCTGCTGTCCCACATTTTCATGTCACTACTAAAACAGAGTTTTAGTCTGTAGGTGTGGTGTAATTTTAGCCACACCCCTGCATTTTAGAGTGAGACTGCATCCCTGGTGAGCAGTCAGATCCTACTGAATTGATGCAAATGTGTCCCAAAGTCAGAAAATCAGTACATAACATTCAGAATTGTCACTACCGAAACACACGTTCTGCAATTAAGTAAACTTTTTTAATGAAAAAATATGATTATGATGTGACTGAAACAGTCACTACAGAAACATTTGGTAAAGTTAATCTTAAAGTTTCGTAAGTTAATCTTACGATTGCTTACAGTGCAGAAAGGAAGGGGCAAGTCATTGAAATCATCTTGATGTACACTGTAAAGAAATGGCTCATCAGATCGCTTCATGTAGTAACAAGCAATTGAACTAGTTTTATTCAACTCAGGAAATGACTTCGATTGAAAGAATCGTTCATTCAGGTGTTTATTTAGATTGAATAAAACAGTTAATGTACTCGTTTGACCAATACATTTGCACGTGCTTAATCCAGCTGTTTCATCCAGCCAATGTATTGCCAAAAGTCACTAATCTTGAGATATACTTTTAACCAGTTGTGATGTGATCGATCCAGTAGATTGCAAATTATGCATATCAGTTTGTTATGGCTGAAGGCCATATTTTCAAAACAAGCCTGGCACATGGCCCCTTTTGAACTGCCTCTGTCATCAAACTCTATTTGTTTGGGCACCAGGTGCTGTAACGTCTTGCTGCAGGTGCCTTTACGCTGACTGATCTTCTACATGTTGCCCACACGCTTCATAAATATTTGAAAGGTTGCATAAGAGTGTCCGGTATGCAGATGTAGTAGCCCAGATAAGTGGCCATAGCATACATTTTTGAACTGAATGGTCTGTCTTTTCTGAGGAAGTCTATTTTCTAAGGCAATGTCGTGCTTTCAACATCACGGCTATGAAAATGCCATCTGGGTTGTTCCTGGAACGAGGAAATACAGGCTTCTGTTTGCCAAGGTCACACTGTCATGAGGCACGAGGGCATGATGTAATGTGACATACAGAAAGCTGACCTCTTGCATCAAGTTATGCCACTTTTTCAAAGCAAGAATGGAGCCGAGCATGACAATATTTCTTGGTCATCACCGAAGACTGTCCCATTTTGTAGGACCCTTGAAACACAGCTGAGTAATGCACCGTAAGTTGTTAAGAATATGAAGTACTCAGGTGGTGCATCTTTCCAGACCTGCAATGCTTCTGAACGCCATTTGAAAAATGGCAGGAACAGCAATGAATGTAATGTTGCAGTACCCTTTAATGATTAAATGTAAGCTGTACACATGGTTATTGCAAAAGATCATGTTTTAAAAGAATGTGACACTGAGTATGTTTACATGCACTCAGTAAACCAATAGGATTTCTGCAGTTATCTGAATATTCAAATGGTCACGTAAACAACACACTCCGATTTCTTAGGTCAAAGTAAGGTCTAGAAATCTGATTAAGAAATCCGATAAAGAGAGCTGGATTTTAGCTCAGTTATCAGATTTCTCAGTGCATGTAAACTCTTACTCTGATTTCTTTCACATTTCTCAGTCTGAGCATGTGCGAAACAGACCACAGTACCAGAAATAAGCAAGCAGCAAAACACTTTTGGAGTGACGCTGAAACCAAATACCGATACTGAAACAACTGTACCCTTAATGATCCAACAGCAGCGGTAAGTTACTTAACAATTGGGCTAAACTAACTACAATAAAACAATTTGCACAGTTCAAAACCACTCTACCCTGAACAACTAACCTGTAAAAATACTTTAAATGTGATGACTATTGTGTGTGTAATATGTACCTCCCAACAATGATTATTTAAGAAATAAATAAAAAAAACAAAACAAAACATAAAATATGAAATGTGCCATAACTTATGCACATGCCACAGGAAAGACAAACAGAAACAGTTGCCACCTGATCCACATCCAGATAAACATAACCACTTCGGTGGAAACCAAGAGTGATAACCATCACACGCTACTCGTGCAAGGCTGCGTAATCATGCGATCCTCGGACTGTCCTGAGTGTTCTGATGTTCTGATGTTTGGGTTATTTCAATAGCTGTTACATTTCCAATCACTGCTATTAATGCATGATGGCAGCTATTAACACTTCATTGTACAGGCGCATGTGAATGTTTGAACACCGCTGGTGAAATTACATGTTTTGTTGATTTTGTTGAAGTGAACAAACATAAAAATGCTGTAAATTTTGGTGCACCATTTATATTGATTTGCTGAGTCTAACATACAGGAAACAAATAAAAAAATTAAATATAAAATGTTCCATAACTGTTTGCACAAATCACATTTGACTTTTTTTTCAATACGTTAAATCAGCAAATAAACAGTAATTGTGCATTAATATGTGTTCTCTGTAGAGGATGTGTTTATTTATTTTCACTTAGAGAATCAACAAAACATGTAATTTGACTACACTGTTAGAAATAAAGGCTCTGTGCAGGCACATTCTTCATTCATCAAGGTACAAACAATGTAAATGATCCCTCAAAGGTACAACAGTGGTTTTAAGGTCTGATTGTGAACCTTAAATAAGTTTTTCCAGGTAAAAAGTTCGTATTTGTACCTTTTCATAACCGAATGTTTTAAAACAATAAAATAAAAAGCCTGGAGACGAGACGGGGTATGTGGAGTCAGTACATCTTAGAAAATACAATTTCAGTGGATTATGGTTCAGTTATGTTCCCTGCCTAAAGGTACTGAGATGTACCCTTGAGGGAACCACCCCAGTGACAAGAGTGACATTGACAGTTTTCTACCTTTATTTCTGAGATTGTAGAGGCGGCCAAACCTTTGCATACAACTGTACCTGAGGGGCCCAATGAAGATTGTAGTAGTACACCATAATGTGCCAGTACAGCTCATTAACATCTCACATTAACGGCCATTAAATAGGCTTTGGTTATTGTTCATTCTACATGATTCACGCTAGTTCATTCTGTTTGGAAGCTTCACATCTCCTGCAGGTTCTCTGTGATACGATCTCTGCTCTTCTTGCACAAAAATACAGCACATTTCTAACCACATCATAGCACTGAAGGTAAAGCTTTGTCTCCGTATCGAGATACCACGTTTCAGCTACGGCTTGTTTTCATTTCTATCTTAAATTCCCAATTAAGGCAAGAAGAAGTCACGTCTCCTGACCAGCTGAGGCAAGCTAGTCATTGTCTAGGCTAGTGGTCCCACACCTCCTCCTGGAGATCTTTCTTGCACAGACTAGTTCTGACCCACATGTTACATACATGCCCCTTCCCTCACCTGATCCAGCCAGTTGTGGACTTCTGAAGTTAATTATCAGAAGCAGATGTAGAAGATTATAGTTGGAACTAGACTTTGCTTGAAGGTAGATCTGCAGGAAAAGGTTGCAGGCTACACCTAAGAAACTCACCTTGTTGGTGTTGCATTTGTCGCTCACGGCCCCGCCGATAACGTAGAGCTTTCCGGCGCAGCTGACCACAGCGGCTGAGCTGACCGCCAGCAACAGAGGAGCCACAGCTTTCCAGGCATTCTCGAACACGCTGAAGCACTCCACACTGCTCAGCCTCTGATGCCCGTTGTAACCTCCCACAGTGTACAGCTACAGAGGAGTCACAAACACATAAGGTTGTAGATGTAGAGCAGGATTTGGAATAGGGTAGCATTTTATTTAGAGAGTGCACCGTACATTTTGATTAACATTCAACTATCAAATCACTGTTGTCGGAACAAAACCTCATATCTTCAAAATGGTAACTTTACAGGAGAAGGAAAAAACCTGCTTTACTTTTAATGTAAGTCAGTGGAACCAGAGTTTTTCCAAAGAGATTTTGGGCCGGTTTTTTTTTGGTCCATTCATCGTGAAATTTACACACAATAAAAGGCAACAGGCATTTTCAAATTATGACAAAAACTGAAAAACAACAAAAAGGAGATACAAGGTTTTTTTCCGACGGCAGCGAAATGTAACTGAATTTAACCGATTCTGCTAAATCTAACCTTAAACCTGGACCCAACCTAGAACTCTAACCTCAACCCAAGAGTTAAACCTAACCCTGACTCGCTGAATTTCACCAGACAGTCTGATAACAATTAAAGCATCTATATATGATCTATAGAGGGCTACCAGAATAAAGAATGATCAGAAACACACATTTCAAATTTCACCATGAATTGGTTTGATTACTTTGATACAAAATGGGAATATAGACAATACAAACAATGCAACAAGCCATTTATTTTATCGCTGTCCATCTCAATTTTTTCTGATTTTTGTTTTTCTCATCGTGAAAATTTCATGACGAGTGGACCAATGCATATGCTCCAAAATTGCTTGGAATGACATTTACTTGACCAGAGGCGATTTGAAAATAGCCAGAGCCATTTTACATTTGCCAACAAACACTCACAATTTTTTTTAATATCATTATAATAGACATTCCTGCATTTGAATCGGCAACTTCAGATCCATGCATCCCAAAGCACTGATGCATTTTTACAACTCTAGACACGGATCTCACCTTTCCACGCAGAGAGGCCATTTTGTGTCGCCATCTGCCCTTCAGCAGGCCGCCCACACGCACCCACTGGTTCAATGGAGACATGAAGCGCCACACGTCCGAGCTGTTCAGCTGCCCACCTGCAAGCACACACACGCACTTTAACTTCAGTCCATAGACACGCAGCTCCTCTGGACTGCCCCGCTTGTGGATAAGGCTTTGAGGAAAGACAAACAAAAACAGTCGCCACTGGATCCACATTCAGATAAACATAACCACTTCAGTGGAAACCAAACACGATAGCCATCGCACGCTACTCTGCAAGGGTAGATGGTCATGTGATCCCTGGAGTGTTCTGATATGTCGTTTGTTCCAATAGCTATTACATTTCTGATCACTGCTATTAATGCATAATAACAGCTTCTAAGTGAGCAAACATAAAGATGCCTTTTTACTGCAAATTTAATGCACGATTTCTATTGATTTGCTGAGTTTAACATACAGGAAACTTGAAATATAAAATGTGCCATAACTTTTTTGCACAGGCCACATTTTAGTTTTTTTCCAATATGTTAAATCAGCAAATAAACACTATTTGTGCACCAAGATGTGCAGAAGTGTGTTCACTATTTAAAGATGTGTTCACTTATTTTCACTTAGAAACTCAACATGTCAAGATGTCGTTTGACCAAGGGTGCCTAACTTTTGCATACGACTGTATACCTCAACTAGATCTTGTACAGAATTCACATTTGTACGTAGCAACAGAAACAGTACCCGTTCACCACAGTTGTAGGAATTTGTGTGGTTTGTTGTGTTTATACCTGATAAATAAATGTCGTTCTGGAGTTCACAGACAGCAAATTCACATTTGGAGTATCCTGGCAGAGTGGCTGAAGGGAGCCACTTCTTTGAGATCGGATCAAGTTTCTCGGCGAAAGAGAGTCTAGAAATGCCGCTTCTGTCACAACCTCCGATCACCACAATCGTCTCAGCCCAACCTGATCGCCTGTGTACACACACACACACACACACACACACACACACACACGGAAACACATTTAGCTCTGCATGCTGGATACCACCTCAACTACACACAAACCATGTTTGGATTTTCAAAGGGCTTGCAAACTGTAAATATGACTTTTCATGACACAGTCTTGCCTAGACACATAGTGCACTATTTTGTGGGTATAGCAGATGCTAAGTATGTTACCAGTCTTGGTTTCACTACCTTTGATGTACTGGTCCAAATTGTCTGGCTACAATAGGTTTTGAGCATTGTAATTACTCTAATCCTCTGGCCACACCGATCCTAGAGTTTGAGCTTAAACGTGTTTGCACCTTGACAACATTATGCAGGTACAATATCTCTGGTACCTGTTCAAGACCGAATCTATTTCCAGGTAAGGAAGCTTATGTCAAAGTTGGCATAAATAACAATGAACCCTAAATCAAAATTACAGTTAATGTCAAGGAACTCTAATTTGATGTCAATGTCAAATCAAGGAACTCTAAATCAAAGTCACTGTCAAGGTCAGTGAACCCTAAATCAAAATTACAGTCAATGTCAAGGAACCCCAATTATACTGACCTTAATTTAGAGTTCTTTGACACTGTTATTAACATCGATTTAAGGTTCCTTGACTTTTGCCTTTGACTTTGATTTAGGTTTGCTTGACCTTCACACTGACTCTAATTTAGGATTCCTTGACCTTGACATTGACTTTAAATTAGGGTTCCTTGATTTGACATAGACATCAATTTAGAGTTCCTTGAGACTCACTGTAACTTTAATTTGAGGTTCCTTGACTGTGACATTGACTTTGATTTAGGGTTTCTTGATTTGACATTGACATTGACTGCTCTGCCCAGCCCATCCCTTCCCATTACACGTACGTGCACCCACTGTACTCCCGCACTTTACTTGCATAGCTGGACTTTGAATACCTATCCAAAGACAATACTCTCCCCCTGCGCTTCCACTTAACTTCCTGTACCTTGCACTTTACTAAATACTCTGCCACCTACTGTACCATCTTCTACCTCCACACCTAGTGTGATTATTTGCACATCTACATAGCATTGTAATATCCATTACTATATATAGTATATAGTTGATTACACTCACTCTACATTCCCAGTGCAATATTATATGTCTCGGTGCAATATTATTATTTTTAAGTTATTGTGTAAGATTATATGTATATATTTTAGTTAAATTGGTTTTATCTATTCTTCTATCCTATCTATAGTTTTGTTTATCTATGTGTAAATACTGTTCTCTGCATAATTTGTGGAACTCGCACTCAAGTTTTTCACTCACCTGTGTCCCTGTACTCTTGTGATGTGACAATAAATCTGATTTGATTTGATTTGATTTGATTTGACATCAAATTCAGTGTCAGGTTCCCTAAATCAAACGGTGGTTCACTGTGCTCAAAGTCTGACTGACCTCCTGGGTTTGGTTCTCTCAGAGCTGATCTCCCTGCCATACATGTGGTACCGTCTGGCCTCCTGCAGCAAGGGCCAGCACTCGCGACATTCCTGCACAAGCTCATCTGCCTCCAGCCTGTCCGTGAAGAACACAGGGTCCAGCAGGGGCAGCCGGAGCCTCTCCAGCAGCGTCCTGAGTGCTGCTCTCCTCTGGTTGCGCCGGTGGTAGACCCAGCCTAGCGCCACCTCCACCAGCACCTCCTCTTGCACCTGCAGCTTCTCGGAGTCCAGCAGCTCCAATACCCTTTCCAAAGGCAACTCTAGGAACTCCTCCTGCTTGGAGACCATTTCGAAGTCCTGGTACAGGACGACCTGGCAGCGCTCCAGCAATGGCTCTATTGAGTAGAGCCCGGCAAAGTCTATGAGGCCCAGACAGTTAGAGGGGCACACTCGTTGCTCCAGGAAGTCCACGCAGGCCCGGGACAGCGCAGGAACATCCAGCAAGTCAGCAGCATGGAAGACCCTCTCCACACTTTCCTCCTGCAACCTTACCCGGCCCTCGTAGATGAAGTCCAGCAAGTGCTCCATGGCAGCAGCCGACACCTCTTCCAGACGCACCACGGCCTGCCGGCTCTCGCGCAGTTGCCCTGTGAACATGGTGCGGAAGTAGCGACTGCTGGCGCACAGAGTGGCCCGGTGGCAGGGGAACTCTCGGCCCTCCACCAGCAGCACCACGTCCGTGAAGGTGGCGCTCTGCCTGAAGGCGTTCAGGACCTGCAGGATGTGTTCAGCGTGGCACGAGCCCGAGCAGAAGCTGTCTTCCGAACTGCTGTCCGACCACGAGTCACTCTCGCTCCCCAAACCCATGAATAGAGATGTTTAAAACACTTCAGAAAGAGAAAGAGGAGTTTTTAATTAGCTTTCAAAGAATTAGTCCTTGAGAGTAATGCACTTAAGTGGATTTGTTGATTTGCATTGCATTTGTAGGCACTGGTTTTGTGTGGCCGACCTCTCAATACAACAGTGACACTGACCTTGTAACAGCGTGGTTGAAGGAGTAGTGCATTAATTGTGTACACACATCAGTGTCTCTGCTGGGTTGAGCTGTCCACAACCCCAAAATATCCAGCCAATAGGAGTTCTGCGGTCAGAAACGGATGGTATACACCACTGATTGGCTACGGTTTACAAGGAAGTGGGCTAGGAGGAAGTATTTATCTCCAAAATGGTACATTTACAGAAGCAGGAAAACAATGCGAACTTTTAATGTAAGTTAATGGAACATCACTTTACTCCAAACAGTTTTGAACCACTTCTTTTCATCCATTCATCATGAAATGTTCACACAATGTAAAGGGCAGTTGCTGTGAGATATATTGACATATATTTTACGGTAAAGAAAATATATGACAAATGCACTGTGATATTTTAATAGTCTAGTCTCACATGAATAGTCTCTGAATATATGATTTATAGCGCAATACATTCTTAAATAAAGGTGAAAAAAAATTGAAATATTTTTGCATATTAAAAAGTAGACTCCCATATTCAATAGATCAACAGATTTAGAAACAAAGACGCATAGGACACATCTTGTCCGTTCAGTTTTTCCTTAGAAATTACAACCAATACAGTTTTGCCAGTAAAAATAATGCATTTACGTAAACTTAAAAAAATCGCCTTGATTTGTTACCCTTAATTTTTACTAAATATATTTCTTTCAATCATATATTTCAATAGTTCTACAGTATTAGTTAGAATATATGTCTTCCAATATATTCCAATATTTGTGCATATATTTGTATGCCATATTTAATGGTTTCAATTCAAATGTGTGTATATTCTAAAAATCAATTTTAGAAATATAATACATTTCAAATATATGAATTACTTACAATGTGACAGAATGGAGGTACTACGAAACCAAGTTGTATTTACTTGGCAATAACCACAATATTGAAGTTGGCAGAAACTCCAATTCAAGTCTAGACAACATAATATACATCACTACATTACTAACTCGCACCAACTCTTAGCTCTTACTAACTCTGTTGCAATGCAAAACATGTCACAGTTCTGTGGAAATCATGGCGTCTCTGCACTGTAAAAAATCTCATTCATAGAAAATCAGCTGTCAAATCTAACAAGTATAACTCACCTTGCACTGGATTATGTATACGGCCGTAGCTGGTGGCCATGCACTATGGAAGTCCTCAGTGTTTGTGCAGAATGTGCTTCACCGCTCTGAGGCTGCGTATAAATATGCCCTCCCTCTTCTGTAGTTTTCACCCACACGTGGGGACGGACCTTTTGTGGGAGGGATATGGGGCAGAAATAAGCCCAGCAACACTGCACCATCCTCTGTTCACATAGTTTACAACAGGGGTGTCAAACTCAACCAGTAAAAGGGCCACATGAAAAAAAAAAAATAAATAAATAAAATAAAAAAATAATAAATCTGTGGGCCAGAAAAAAAAAGTTTTTATTTCATTTTTAATTAATGTCGTGCTGTAACCTGAACTGGTCGTTCTTTATTCTAAATATAATGTAGTAAATATAATGTAGTATGGGTAATGTAGTTTTAAACCCTTATAATAAAAGAAGCTGAACTCACTATTTGTTTTTCTACTGAAAGTCGACCCATTTTTCCACAAATCTGGGCTATAAACTATAAACAGTTGGCGTCTCTTCAGTGATCTGCTCTGTAAACATTATGTTTATAAAATAATACAAAGAGCGTCTAAGATTTTTGGCTTTCAGCAGTGAATTGTAAGCATACAGCAATACGTGTGATCATAAAACACGTTCTGTTAACCTGAGGGAAACTTTAAAAAAATAAATAACTAAATAAAATAAAAATTTACATTTATTTCATGCAGTTACTGAATAATTTGCCTTACGATTTGGTCATGTAAATTCAGATGGACAAACCAAAATATACCCTGGCCAATAAGAGGTTGAACTGCAGCTGAAATGCATTTGGTGATATGACTGGTGTGGAATTGAGTAGAATTGTGTAAAATTGAGGTGTAACCGCTGTCCCATAGACGGTTGCTGGGGCAGGAGAGTCAGGGAGCACGTTACATTGCAGTGCATGCTGGGCACTGTAGTGCAGCTCATTGTGAAACGAGCTAACAATAACAGAAAATTAAAATACTTTGGAGGGCCGGAGAGAATTGAGTTGCGGGCCTGATCTCGTGTTTGACACATGGGGTTTATAAGAAGTATAAGTGAATTAGAGTTTAGACAAAGTGGGACATCAGAACACAAAATGCCTCAACACTTCTAAAATGAATGCACTATAATTTTACTGTACAGCACATTTACTATAGCTTTACATGCGGTAGGCTAACCAAAACCTAAACCAGGAAATGGAATGTTGATACAGTTTTGCTTGAAGTGAGCAATTATTGTTTATTAGTAATGCAAAGCTATTTTTTATACTCATATTTTCTATAAAAGGAATCACATTAACTCATTGTGAAAAGGCTTTATGAGTGTATTTGTATGTTGCTAAAGACCATAATAATATAAACATTTACATTTTCTACACATTTTTCTCTCTCCTTTCTGCTCCTGTAATTTCCTTCTGGTGCCAAAAGCCTACCGTAGCGTCTAAATGCCGTCAAGTAATTGGTTACTAGTTAAAATAATAAAGCTATTATAACTAATGTGCTGTTTGCAGTAACTATGGATTGAAGACTTTGAAGCACATGAAGCAAAAAAGACTGCATGCACTGTAAAAAACAGTCAGATCAACCTAAAAAATCACCAACGCTCTCAAGATGAGTGAACTCAAAAAGCTGTGAAGGAAGTTGCCCTATGATTTTAAGTTGACTTTTATTGTACTTTATTATTATTTTTTACAACAAATGGGTAAACTGCACAAATAGCCACTAGATGGAGCTGCTTACTCTTCTGTGAGTGCAGTATGTTCTGCAAGAACACTGTTCACACAGCACCAATAGAGAGAGAATAGCACAATCAGCACCACCACCACAACCAACGATATCATCAACAACAACAACAATAATGATGATAATAATAATAATAATAATAATAATAATAAGTGTTTTTAAGCTTAAATATATGAATTCATTGTTCATCCTTAACATATTGTATGATTTATTGCATTATTGCATATGAAAAACATGTGATTTAAATTGTTTTTATTAATCCTGGATATTTTACACGTCTGTATACACAGTCATTGCATTTCCATCTCAAATATTGCTAAATAAAAGTTGTATTAAGTCCAAACTTTTGTCCTGCCCAAATGTCTATGGGCCATTCAAAATAAGTTTGAACTGCGTTCCAACAGTTAAAACAACTATTTAAAAATAATTAAGGATTCAGACCTCAGATATACAAGGATTGTGTTGTGATCCATTTAAACCCAAAACATTAACTGAGACAGTAATAAGCTAAATATTTACAAAATGACCATTTATAAGGTACTTTCTATTGGGAGATGTCTGTTTAATACTTGCTTTATTATTATTATTATTATTTTTTATTTTTTGCTTTTTTAAAAAAAATTTAATTGTTCTTTTTGATATTTTTTGATGTTGAAAGGTTTAGATTTTTCATGAGTTTAATTTTTTTAATAAAAAAAAAACTTTGTTTAAAAAATTCTGTCCCACATTTGCATGTCACCACCCAAACACGGAGAGTTTTAATCCATAGGCGGAGCCTTATTTTAGCCACACCCCTGCATTTTAGAGCAGGAAGTGTGGCTGCATCCCTGTCCCTCATGGCCACATGTTGAGCAGTTAGATCCCATTGTTTTGAAGTAGGGAGTGCGGGAAACAGCCTAACACTGGGCACAACTTAACATAGACTTTTTATGTTGTTATACAAGGTCAAGCATGATGGCTAGGCTTAAGTACAGACTCCGTACTGTGGGGTTACAACTAAGACACCTTTAGTAAACAAAGACAAATGAAGTCAATTTGGTCTTTTTGTTCCACATGTTTACACAGATTTTATGATTAAAAAGAGGAAAGATTTGAAAACAGGAATTTTCTTCTACTTTATTAGTGTCTTTCAGATGTGAGTATTTTGGTTTTGAATTAGTATATTAACGAAATTGACAGTAAAAGTTCATAAAGCTGTAGTTATTCAGAAACAATGTTCCATATTTTACTGATGTGTGATGTTTTTATTTGCTTCTCTACTCTGAATAAAAAATTAATCTGTTGTTGTTTGACACACAGACTGTCAGTTTTCATATATAATTTGACGTGTGTGTGTATCTATCAGTTAAGCTCTCTGTCTGTCTGTCTTATAGATGATAATATATAATGCAGTACAGATGGAAAATATATTCACTTCTTACAATGTAGAATTATATTGAATTAACTTTGTTTGCACAAATTCATCAGACTTTTTTTTAGCAAGTGTTACAACTAACCCTCTGTCTGAAAATATTCAGATTTTATGTGTGTACAACTGTTTAAACAAGGTGCAAAATACAGGGGGTCCTGATGGACCTGGGGGTCCTAGAGGGGTTCTGAGGGGGGAGTCCTTAATTTCTTGAACCCCCTGAATGTCTCAAAGTCAACATGCTGGGGGCTTCCTGAAAATGAACTTATTCTGACCTTTTGCTGTCTGTGAAAAATAGACACTCCAATACAAATTCATGGAAAGATCACTGTTTATCTGCTTCTCCCACAGTCAGGAAACTTCTATCTTTAATATTATTAACTAACTAGAGCTGCAGCGCTGGTCTGCCTCAGGGTGGCGCTGTAGCAAACTGGTTCATCCAGTTGGCCATACACAGCCTAGTAAGCGTAAGTATGCTGAGGACTCCTCTGACAAACTTTACAATGAGCCACAGCATATTTGTAAACCTGAAAACTCACCCAATTTCCCAGGATACTGGTGGAAAAAGAGTGACTCTTTTCATTCCTCAAACTGAAGGCAGAAGAGGAGAGTGTAAGATCTTAGTTAAGGTGAGGAAGTGCATTACCAGACCTGAACAGAGCGTTTACATTAGAAGAACAAACATTTTGGTGCCATTGAAGCGCCACTATGGCGAAAGAGTTAGCAGCTAGTCAACACTGTGGTAGCCAGTAAACATGGGACCCCCCCGGAATATCAAAGGGTATTTCGCACACTGTGTTCAAATCAGTGTTTGCTAGTCATGCCCTGGCTACTGTTTTAGTTCTGCTCAAAATCAGAGAGTGTCACTACCAAAATATTAGGTCAAATTTCGATGCTCAGAACAAAAAGTATTTTAGTCTAAAGTTCAAGTCAGTTAAAAGTCTGAAATGTGTTTTCAACTCTGCTTTGAGCCAATTTAGTAGATCCACATTGATAGTTTACATATAAATTTAACATGAAAACATCAGATTGAGGAGATTCAATCACTTATCTGTGTCCCTGAGTTTTACTTTTAACCCCATTACACCAACTAATTCAGCTACAGAAATGATGTACTGTCACATTAAATCACACAATGAAGACTCTGGGCTGTTACTCTAGCCCTCAGAAGCTGGCAAATTTTGCTTTTATTCATAGATAATTTGTTATTTTCTCCATTTTTGAGAGGGTCTGTCAAGCATAACATGCAAACAACATTTTTAAAACTTTTTAAATAAATTTGTTTGCAATAATGACAGAAAAGTCATGTGATTAATTGTGTCAGCTTGTATAAAATATTCCATCCCATCACAACCTGACTGTGATGGAGCTGTAATTATCATTATTATTGCACAAAAAATAAAAACAGTGGTGAGAAAATCTGTTTTAACAACATCAACAACAACAATAATAATAATAATAGTAATAATGATAATAATAATATCTGATGGTATATTCTTCTTCTTTTTTTTTTTTTTGTTCTTATTTTTCCACCAGAGTTTTGTCCTGCAGTTTTCGAGATATCGGCAAATTGTACAATGGTCATAAAATGGCGATATTTTTCCCAGAATTGGGTTTGCAGAAGTTTGTGCACTCCACTTACGTTACAATAACACAAATACACTAGCAACGCCCTAGCAACCACCTGGAATCCCTTAGCAACTATCTAGCAACATCCTAGCAAGTACTCCGGACACCCTTAGCAACCACCTAGCAATTGCTTAGTAACATGCTAGAAACCATCTGAGATCTGATGGCAACCACCTAGCAATACCCTAGCAGCCACCTGGAATGCCTTAGCAACTGCCTAGAAACATCCTAACAATCATCTGGGATACCATAGCTATGACCTAGCAATATCTTAGCAACCACTTGGGATACTATAGCTATCACTTAGCAACACCTTAGCAACAAACTGTGAGCTGCTTAGTCTGTGCAATCACTGCATTTTGTTCAAGATGCACTTTTTAAATTATTATTATTATTATTATTATTATTAGTAGTAGTAGTAGTAGTCGTAGTATTAGCAGCAGCAGTATTACACCATCAGTTCATATTTACAGTAGTGTACAGTTCAGCAGATGTGAAAGGAAAACTAAACTACGTGAGCAATGCTGTGAAGCTGAAGGGGAATCCTGTCACAGGCTATATTTGGATACAGGTGTCTGATATATACCTGCTCATCACCGTCTGCTCTGATTAAATGACATCAAATGACCGGCCTAACAGTCTGCAGTGCATTTTAACATAAGAAAGAACTGTCCATGGAGGAAGAGCCACCCGGAACGCAGTGAGTAAGTTTAATTTCCTGTTCTTGCATTCTAAGGAAGAGTTTGAGGGGAAAGAGTGAGGAAGATACAGAGCAAGAGAGAGTAAACAGCTATAGAAAGAGACACGAAAGGCAATAGTGCAAGAGAGAGAGAGGAAAGAATGAGGAAAAGTAAGAGAAAGAGACAGAGACCAAGAGAGAGGAAAGAAGGAGACGAGAAAGGAGATAGGGAAAGAGAGGAAGAAAAAGAAAGGGAAAGACAGAGAAATAAGGGGAAAGACAGAGAGATCATGAGAGAGCATGACAGAGGAAAGATGGAGAGAAATGGGAGAGGAAAGAGAGAGCAAGAGACAGGAAAGATGGGGAATGAAAGAAGGAAGGTGGAAAGAGAAAAGACAAGAAGAGAAAGGAGAGAGAAGGAAGAAATAGATAGATAGAGAGAAAGTGAAGGAAGAGCAGAAAGAAAGGGGAAAAACTGAGTGAGTGAGAGGAAGAGAGAGAGAGAGAGAGAGAGAGAGAGAGAGAGAGAGAGAGAGAGAGAGAGAGAGAGAGAGAGCTCCCCATTCCCATATAAGGTATGGCCAAAGAAGCCAAGTAGGGGAGGACAACAATAACGAAGGCAGGATATTCCCTACAGGATGTGTAGCAGTGAGAGAGTGAGAGAGAGAGAGGGAGGGAGAGAGAGGGAGGGAGGGAGAGGGAGAGAGAGAGAGGGGAAGAGGAGAAGAGGAGAGGAGAGGGTAGAGGAGTATGTTGTAAGAGGCTGCAGGCAGCATGAGTGAGTCTCTGTGCAGGAGATAGCAGCACTGGCACTTTCACTGCTACGGTAAGAGGACTCTCTCACTACAGAAGTAAGACATAACTCTCTCTCTATGTCTCTCTCTCTCTCTCTCTCTCTCTCTCCACTGTGACCTGAGTGTGAGCACAGAGTGAACGGATTTGTAGGGCTTTTAATAAACGGAGGTTCTGTGGTAAAGGCAGTGGTTATATATAGAACCATGACGACGTAAAGAAACATTCGACCGCTTAGATTTCATGTGCCATTCTAATCATGCTACAGTTGCCTGTAAGGTTAACTGTAATATTACTGTTTATAATACGTAATAGTTCACAGTACCATTCAAAAGTGTCTAATAACTGTTCTCATAAATGTAAAGTCAGTTTCATTGCAGGTACATGTATAAAATAACTGGATTAAGATGTTACTGTGCTCTACAACTTCAAAGCATATTTGTAAAAGCTCTAACAGATGATGAAACCTTAGATGTGTCCTGAATGATGAGCAGGGCTATAGACGATTCCATACTGACATGCGAACATTATGATTTTATAATAAAATGAAAATTCTGAATGTCTCGCATTTGAAAACTGGTGACCAAATCTAAGGCTGATAGCTTATCAAGGCATTGCTCTGAAAAATAATGACAGTATTCCATTTATCATTTAATAACTTCTCTATGATCCCCAAAAATGTAAAATATTAAAAAGACCATATTAAAATTGACTGGTAAACTTGGTTTCTGGTTCCTAGTATTTAAGTTCTACAATGTGTTGTTGAATAAACCAACAGCAATTTAAGTTTTTTTTTTTTCCAAAACACATTATTAATCACTTCTATGGATTTTTTTTTTTTCATGATGTATAGGTTGTTACCTATACAAGAAATATCAATGCTATATTATTGTTCCTACCACCTTTATGAGAGAGAGAAAAATGTGTTTTCCACTGTACATCTGTTATTGTTTTAAAAATTTTTTACAAATTGAGAGAATTTTGAAATGAAAGTCTTCAATTAATTATATTTTTATTAATATGACAAGTGGTTCCATTTGTGTACCATATATATCAAAAATCGCTTGGGACCAAGCCAAATTAAGAAAACATGGTTTTTCAGAGACCGTAAGTCTCTGAAGAACGGAAAGCAGTAAATAGCAATAAAGTTAAATATAACAAGAAACAGGGTTCTGCTATTGTTGCAGAAGCCATAGAACCTTTTCTGGTGCTAGAGCCCTTGTTGTTAAGAGTGTCCAAAGTGAATAACGGGACTCGGCCTGAGTGATGCAGTTTCCTCTAAGGACAGTCTCTCACTCTTTCCTGTCAGTCTGCAATCAGTTGAAGTGATTTTGAGAAGCATTGACATTTTTCAGTGCATTGTCTGTTCTGTGTTGTGAAGCACTGAACTGTTTCATTTGCATTCAGAGCTGAAAATGACACAAGTTTCTGCCCCCCCCAAACCACCCCACCTCCCCCCTCTGATGACTAATCTTTCAGATTTCTGCTTCTGTCTGATATGTGGGTGCTTCCTCTTACGTCAAATATCAATTTAAGAAATGTTACATTGGAACTGAAACAATAATAACATGTTTTTCTGCAGTTCGTGTCTCACGTATGTCACAAATGTTCCACTGACAACAGAATATTTGAATATTTCCACTATGTTCTGTCATGTGTCGTGAAAATTCGGACAGGAGAAGACACAGCAGTAGTAGTCAGGAACCATGTCTCAGCAGAAAAGCGAGCCTTACGTCAGGCATGCAGCGCGCACTTCCCCATAAGAGCGTTGACCATAAACAGAGTTCACACTGTCTGACTGCCTCTTTCTGTCCCTCTCTCTCTCTCTCTCCTCTTATGTGTGCCGTCCTCTGTGCGTCCCTGCAGCACGATGGGGGCCTGCCTGTGGTTCCTCTTCTTCGCTGTGAATGGAGTCGCAGCCTTTGTACACCCGTCACAGCTCTCGTCCTGCCGAGTGGTAAGTGACCTCACCGAGCACTGCCCGAACTTGTGGAATGAGTGCTGTGCTATTTCAATATGTTGCATGACTTTTGTAGCTTGTTCATTTAGTCATTTCTCATTGACTGATTTAGAATCTGTCATAACAATTGCAAGACAAACTGCAACAGAGTTCAATCTGGATGTAACTAATGCAGTATTTTAAAGAGGTGTCCTAATAGTCTCTAAAGCAAAGGCAATCAATGAATTAATCAATACGTTTTTCATCAGTTGTGGCTGGTCAAAATGTTGTTTTACTTTATTTACTTTACCTTTATCTCCAAAATGGTAAATTTACAAAAGTTATCAAAAAAAAGATTTTATTCCAAGCAATTTTGGAGCATTTCTATTGATCCAATCAAGATAATAATTTTCATACAATGGAAAGTTCATCATGTGTTCAGATGAAATAGGTAAAGACGTGATGCTGGTAATTTGCTCAAATATAATGACAATTTCAGATATGCTCAAGATTTTATAACAAAATCATGGAATGAATCTGTATCTGTGGATCGTATTGTGTAATGGGTAACACCTCTGCCTTCTATGCTGTAGACTGGTGTCCAATCCCTGGCTTGGGCAAGCACTCTACACTATACCAATAACAGTCCTTGGGCAAGACTCCTAACACTATCTTTGCCTACCTGTGTAAAAATGATGAAATTGTAAGTTGCTCTGGATAAGAGTGTCTGCTAAATGCCGTAAATGTAAATGTATCTGGACCATCCTTGGGTCCCTCTCAGACTGGATATAAGCCAGGAAGCATAAAATGACATTATATGCTTCTGCAGATGATTATAATGTGTGAGAATTCCCAAAGACTACTTATAAAACATATACTTTACTAAGAGCAACTGAAATAAAGTATCAGATGAAAAGATCAGAAAACAAGTGCCAAGTAAACAGCCACTGTCGCAAAATTGTCGGGTGGGGGGATCGCCAACTTTTTGAAATTAAGCAAGAATATTTTGGCCAGTTGCCGGGTGGTTGGCAAAAATTACACAGCTTACATTATTGATAACATGTTTCTGAGAGTGTCTTTTTCATAAAATCCTACCATGCTGATGATATCTTGTTGTCATTACAAGCTAAAACACTGTGGCCACATGAGTGACGACAAGCACACCAAGTTTTGCCATAAAAGTTGGGCAATGTGAATCAGTGCTTAGCCAAGCAGCTACCCTAACAGCTAAGTTCAGTCTGCTGCATGAAATTACATATAGCTATGTAAGTTTGACAACAGTTGTCCCAGGATGTATGACACTGAGCATGGCTTGTGGGAAGGAAGTTGTGGGAAGGGCTGTGTTTCAGTGCCATTCATGCCTGTATCCCCTCCCTGCACATACATCTCGTAGTTCTACAGGAAAGGAAGGGCTGCTAGGTGACGCGAATGGACCTCAGTGGAGAAAATCTTTTTGTCCTTGACTGCTACAAGTGGTGCACTTCAAAATCTGTTTATGTAGATCTTTATGACTTGGCAGACAGAGAAAAGTTTGTATAAGTTTACTGAAAAATTAATGAAATATTCCTGGAAAAGGCTACTGGTGGAATATCAGAAGTGACGTATGACACTGGTCATGACGTATGACATTGGTCATGATATTGTGATGGACGTCATGTGGTCTCAGGTTTTGCAAGATCACTATGACTAATTGACTTTGTGGTGTCTGAGTAGTTGTAGTGTCTGCAAAGGCTCTGTGGACAGATGGCTAATGTTGGTTCTTCTGTTCTCCTCCACAGCTCCAGAAGAATGCATACTGCAGTGATCTGAACCTGACGAGTGTCCCACCCCAGCTGCCACCTGGCATCCACATGCTCGACCTGTCGCGCAACTTCCTCCAGAACCTCACCGAGGATATCCTGTCTACCTATCCCACCATCCGCCAACTAAACTTCCATTCCAACAGGATCCAAAGCATTCAGCCAGGCCTCTTCAGAAACATGAACCACCTGCAGGTTCTTGATCTCTCCAGAAACCAGCTGCACCTTTATGCAGCACTGAAAACTAATGTGGGGCCACTCACTTCAGTCCAGAAACTGGACCTGTCTGGAAATGGCCTTTACACGGACATGAGCGACTACTTTCTGAGAGATGCTCCTGCCCTCACAAACCTCTCTTTAAATGGAAACAGCATAACCAAAATAGGCAAAGAAACATTCAGTGGGTCCCTGGCCTTGAGAAAAATAGACTTACATAACAATGTCATTCTAGAGATTGAGGAGGGTACATTTAACTCTCTGCAGCATCTCACCGAGCTTGATTTGTCAATGAACTCAATTTCTTGCATTGAAGACTTTAATCTCTTTCCGCTGACATCATTAAACCTAAGCAAAAACAGCATGACCTCCTTCCAGTGCACTGACTTAGACAAGGAGTTTGAGCTGCTGTACCTGGACCTCAGCGAGAACAAGATCCACTACTTCCCCATTCTCCCATACAAGAACAAGATCATCCACCTGGACCTCTCTCGTAACCAGCTGCGCAGCGTGAACTGCACTGGTGCAGCTGAGGAACTACAGTACCTGAAAGACAGACAAGAGTTGACACATGCCCCCCGCTGCAGCAGCAATCACCACCAGGAACTACCTCGGCTCCGCTACTTAGACCTAAGCTATAACCATTTTACGGCTGTGCCTTCTGACTTCTTTAACAGTATGGTGGATCTAGAGACCCTAAACATAAGCAATAACTGTCTGGGTACCTTCATGGTGGATACAGAAGGCCCTCTGAATGCACTGAAGACCCTTGACCTGAGTTTCAACAATTTGCAGAACTTCACATTTTGTGAAGGCACCTTGCAAGGACTGAGGTCTCTTTATCTTCAGGGCAACTATCTCAGCACCTTGGACTTTTCCCGCCTACACAGCATCACAAATCTGCATCTTCAGCTCAACACGCTGCATGTCTGTGGTTCACAGGACCAACCCAGTGGCTGTGTCTCTTTTTCCTCCATGCCCAGTCTGCAATACCTCTACCTCTCAGAGAACAACCTGATTTCTGTACCTGCGCATGCCTTCCAGGGCACCCCACTGCTCATCCTGGACCTGTCTCTGAACCCTGGTGTGAAGATTAGTGAGCAAGCTCTCTCAGGCTTGGAGAACTCCCTCATATACCTCTCTTTGAGAGGGGACCAACTCCAGACACTTAAAACTGACCTCTCTCTTCTACGATCCCTGAGAATGGTGGATTTGTCCAGGAACCAACTGACCAGCCTGTCATTGAGCAGAGACTCTGCCATAGAAATTCTGCATCTGCAGAACAACAGCTTGGAAATCCTGGAGGATCACACGCTAATGGCTCTAGAGGGAAAGCTTAGAACTCTCCACATCAGCATGAATCCACTCAGCTGCTGCGCAAACACACGTCTGATCGATTGGGTGCAGCAAGCTAGTGTGGACATTCCAGACATCACAATGGCTACCTGCCATTACAGAAAGGATGCTGAATATGTGAAGATCAACCTCAGAAATGTGAAAACTGAGCACTGCGATACTCTGAACGGCAAAGTGTTTGTGATTAGCTTGATTGCCGTGCTAGTTTTGGGACTGATGGTGGTTTTGCTAGTGGCCATAAAGTTGTGCCACTCAAGAAGTCACAGATTCAACCACAGCTACAGGGCCTGAAATACTCGTGAAGGAAAACCAAGAAAGGAAACTGAAGGTGACATATAGAGATGTGACAATCACATGAGTTCAGCAATAGGTCCATTCTTGGTGACCTGCTGGTATTTTTGATATGACTGAAGGGGAACTGGTCTAAGTTTAAAAGTTTGAAACACTAGGCCCAGTCACTGCTGACATTTCAGTCACAACTGACATTTTCTTTCATCTGAAGTTTGCTAGTGAACAGAGGCTTGCAGTGTTATTTTCGAATGACTGAAAAAAAAAACAGGAAAGCAGCCTTGACCAAATACATAGGCCCTTCTAACTCTTTAGAGAAGTACTTTAAGAAAGGTCTATATATGTCTCAGAGAAAGAGCACAACACCAGCACAGATGAGATCCAAGCTCAGCACTCTCATGGAAGTTTGATACATGTGAAGGACTCGATGAAGGACAATGTCTGCTGCATGTGTCTTGTGTTTAGAAGGACTTCTTATTATTCTGATGATACTGTCTGTTTATATGCTCACTACATTTCCCAGGGTTAGCTTTGCCTAACTGATTCATTATGTTGCACTTTAAGGACTGTGTTGCGTCAATATGAAAGATGTGTAAAAATCTATATGTACTCCTCTTAAGCATAACCAAAGCCATCCAACACTACAGATGAATGAAATAATATACTTCATGCAGATTTTTAAGAAAGATCAGAGGGGTGTAGAACATAGCTAGGTTCCTGATGTTGGTGCATAACGTTGGATTCTACTCAAGCTAGCTTTATACTAAGCTACCCTCCTAAAAAAGTTCTTCAATGATTCTTTTATTGTTACAAGCTTAGTATTGTAACAACAGCAGAACCCTTTTGGTGCTATATAGAACCCTTTTCAAAAAGGTTCTACATAGAAGCATCTACAGCACATTCTCCATCAATCATTTAAGTATGCAAAAGGTTCCTAGAATGTTCATGGTTCTACTTGGAACCACTGTCTTTACTAAAGAACCCTTGAAGAACCATCTTTTTTAAGAGAGTAGCTAAACCAGTTTGGCCAGTGACTTTCATACCGTTGTCATTTTTACTTTTTTGCACAATTTGAAAGCTACACCTACCCTTTGCATGGTCTTAAAACCAACAGGAGTGATTCAAAATTGCTTGTTACATTGACTTCCATTACAAGTTAGGCATGTTTTCTACTGACAGTGACAGTTAAATGTAGCTTTCTGTTAGCATGTTAACAACTGAACCCAGCTTTGTAATATGCCCCTCAGTCCGGTGTGGTTCAGTTTGAAGGTCAGTGGCATAGGACCAGTCATGAGACCGGACAGAGAACACGTGGAGTGTAGCGTACGTATGTGTGTGTGTGTTTTTGTGGGTATGTGTGGGTGTGTGTGATTTGATTTAACCGAGCCAGGGCAGAGGAAGTGCTGCTGTCGGGACACCTGGAGCAAAAATGCAGTATGTTTTCACAGCTTTAGGGCCACTGCAGATACCTTTCCTGTTATTGATTCAGTCTCACCAACTCCCCATAACTCTTAACAAGGAATTCGCTGATGCAGGACGAAAAAACGCAGCTTTTGATTATGTCGCTATAGCCGTTTATTTACATTGCTTGAAAAAATTGAAGTATTTTATGACACTCAAGGTATACCGAGCCTCACACTGGGATACAAGCTGGCTGTGATCAAGCATCAGTTATCCATCAAAGCTATGACATTAATAGAGTTCAGTGCCAGGAGCAGTTTAAGCCAGCTGTCTATACCAGGAGTTGGCATGACTGAAATAGACACAGGAAATCCCTACGTGTTTGGATGTGTCATCACCTCATGTTATAAATAGGAGTTCGTTTAACAACCTGTTGACTTGATAACAAGAGGGACATTTCCTCCTATGGCTTTCATGGTCACTACCACTTCTTGTTTTCCTCCTACGCAATCTGTTCACACCGAAACCAGCAGTGATCTCACACACTCACACACACACCCACGCAGTGCTGCAGAGGCCAATGACGACTGCTTCTGCTTCATTCCACTAAATATTTATGCTTTATGAAGGAATGATTCCGATGTGTGTGTGTAAAGAATGTAAATGAACTAGAGACATAGTTCATGCAGAGATATATTTATGAAGTTTTATATTTTCGTAAATAAATGGTCTGTCTTATACAAATGTGGTTTGATAACTGTGGAACACTAACCTGGTTGTCTGATGATACTTGAAAAAATGTATATGTTTATAGGTTTTTATATAGAAGTACTGTGCAAGGTCAGAGACCACCTGTTAGTTATTTAGTAAAAATAGCCATTAAGTACAAGTTATTCATTTTTCAGTAGGTACTTCTGTGGAGATTAGATACAAGATAATCCACTTGCGTAAGGAAATCGAAAGACAAAGTGAACAAACAGGAGTTTTCAAACCTGGAGTTTTAAGATTTAGTGATATCGAAAAAATTAGATTCCTAACAACTGTGCACCAAAACTGACACAATCACATAAACTGTACTTTTCATCTTCAAGCTCCACTATTGCTTCCGATCTGAAAAAAATCCACAGGTGTTCCTGTCCATCCTTCCACTCTGAGAAGGAAATACTATGTGTCAGGAAGGATGTGTACCTGTCGAGATGTCATTACTGAGAAACATAAATAGACAAAAAACATAGAACATTTGCAAATCAAACATCTCCTTGTGTTGTCAGAATAATGGACTGACCACCCCAGAGTCCAGACCTCAGCATCACTGAATGTGTTTGGGATTTCCTCGCTTGTAAGAAGTAGACAATGCAACCAGCTTCTAAGACTGAACTTTGGAAGTTTGGAAAAACATCCCTGCAGATTTCTTAGAAAAATTGAAAGCAAGTCTCTAAAAAAACAAGGGAATTCGGCTCAGATCTGAGGACTGTGAAGGCCATAGCATGTTTTACATCACTTTCATACTCATCACACCATTCAGTGACCCCGCATTGTCATCCTAGAAGAGACCACACCCATCAGGATTGAAATGTTTCCGCATAAGATAATGGGAATCAGTCAATAACTTAGTAATTAGTTAGTGACCCTTCCTTCTCTCTCAGAAATAAAGGTACTAATCTGTCACTGCGGCAGGACCTCTCTTGTCACTGGGGTGGTTCCCTCAAGGGTACGTCTCAGTACCTTTAGTCAGGGAACATAACCATAATCCACTGACTTGTCTCCAGGGTTTTTATTATTATTAACGAAATAGATACTTTTCCACTGGTAAAAACTTATTTAAGGTACACAGTTGGACCTTAAAACTACTGTTGTACCTTTGAGGGAACATTTACATTGTTTGTACCTTGATGAACGAAAAACGTAAGGGGAAAAGTGGACCAACCACTTGGGGTAACCATGCCACAATGCCCCAGCACACAGCATAATAGCCCCAGGAACACCTCACTGCAGGGCTTGAGCATTTAAGCCTGTACCATTCACTTAGTGTATGCCACACATGCACTCACCCACTTGTGGAGACCAGTGCCTATGGTATGTGCTTCGTTTTCATAATGAGAAATGTATGTACTGCAGTACTACTATAATGTCCCTCTGTATGTCTTTGTGAACAGATTGTTCTTGCTGACAGGCCGATCACATCCTGCATTCTCATTCTCAGTCAGCTGAGGAACAGTCGCTCTTCTGTTTTTCATTACATTTCACACTAAAGCATGAGCATCATGCTCACTGAATGTGCACTTGTGACAATTTCCAATCCTAATTACTGAAGTATTTCCTATGAATACAAATGCAGATGTTAATTGAGTCACTGCTTCTATTGAAACAGACCCAGATGAGCAGTCTTTGTGACTGAAGCTCCTGTCATCCGTGCCCCAATGATGAACCCTGTTACAAAGTCACTTAGACCTTTTCCTCTTTCCGTTGTGATCCAAAATTAAGGTCAACTGGGCCTATTTAGTCTTTTTCTTCATGCCACAGAGCAGGGTAGGATGCTTAATTGTCCTGATGGATATTGTCCTGCTGTCTCTTTGCCAGCCAATATCACATTAACAGGAACATCGCTGGGGCCACCCCCTCTCAGGCTAATTCTGTCCCTCAAACATGTGTACACAAATGCACGTGTGCACACAACAAACAAACAAACACACATGGGTTTACCTGTTGAGTCCACCTTATTAAAAGAACAGTGCCCCTTCCACACCCATTCTGCTCTGCACACAAGCTAATTTAGTCCCTCTGACTTATGAATAGACACATGTACACATACTTACAAAGATCAGGCATAACATTATGACCACCTCCTTGTTTCTACACTCACTGTCCATTTTATCAGCTCCACTTACTATATAGGTGCACTTTGTAGTTCTACAGTTACAGACTGTAGTCCATCTGTTTCTCTGCATACTTTGTTAGCCCCTTTTACCCTGTTCTTCAGTGGTCAGGACCCCCATGGACCCTCACAGAGCAGGTATTATTTGGGTGGTGGATCATTCTCAGCACTGCAGTAACACTGACGTGGTGTGTTAGTGTGTGTTGCGCTGGTCTGAGTGGATCAGACACAGCAGTGCTGCTGGAGTTTTTAAACACCTCAGTGCCACTGCTGGACTGAAATTAGTCCACCGACCAAAAATATCCAGCCAACAGCGTCCTGGGGGCAGCGTCCTGTGACCACTGATGAAGGATGAGGATGACCAACACAAACTGTGCAGCAGATGAGCTATCGTCTCTGACTTTACATCTACAAAGTGGACTGACAAGGTAGGAGTGTCTAATAGAGTGGACAGTCAGTGGACACCACCACCACGTCAGTGTTACTGCAGTGCTGAGAATGATCCACCACCCAAATAGTACCTGCTCTGTGAGGGTCCATGGGGGTCCTGACCACTGAAGAACAGGGTAAAAGGGGGCTAACAAAGTATGCAGAGAAACAGATGGACTACAGTCTGTAACTGTAGAACTACAAAGTGCACCTATATAGTAAGGGGAGCTGATAAAATGGACAGTGAGTGTAGAAACAAGGAGGTGGTCATAATGTTATGTCTGATCTTTGTAAGTATGTGTACATGTGTCTATTCATAAGTCGGAGGCACTAAATTAGCTTGTGTGCAGAGCAGAATGGGTGTGGAAGGGGCACTGTTCTTTTAATAAGGTGGACTCAACAGGTAAACCCATGTGTGTTTGTTTGTTGTGTGCACACGTGCATGCGTGTACACATGTTTGAGGGACAGAATTAGTCTGAGAGGCGGTGGCCCCAGCGATGTTTGTGTTAATGTGATATTGGCTGGCAAAGAGACAGCAGGACAATATCCATCAGGCCTTTCCAAACAGGAAGCAGCTTGAGAGGAAAATGCTCAGCGCACATAAATAGTCATAATGTTCACGCCCCGCCTATTACGCACCACCGGCCTGAACCCAGCATGCCAGTGGAGTTTTAACCTTTTCCACCAAAGTGTATTCCAGCTATTCTTGAAATATGAGCTCATTTTTAAAATCCCCACACTAAACACATGATGAATTATTCGTTGTTTCCTAAGAGAGCAAAAGATTCCCCATGATAGGAATCTGGAAAAACAATGGAATAAGCCAGCAGTCATACTATCCTCTGCACCAGTGTGATTTACAGGTTTCTCTCATACAGCTCATACAGACTCACCAAAACAGACGTGCAGCTATTGTTATTTCATGACAACATGATCACCAGAAACCAGAAGAGAGGTGACTGTTCAAAACATTCTATTGTCTCAGTGGAATGTTTAAAACAATAGACACATTCATATGTGCTGAAGACTGGGCCTTCACTCGACATCAGTAACTCCTCTGTGGGTGTGTATGTATGTTTTTGTGCACCGTCATGTAATATAATGAAAAAAATGTCCCAATATGGTTTTCTGAGCATATTGTGAATTGTCTATATGAAAGAACACTGACCACCTATGTGTTTCATTACAAAGTGAGCATAATTAGCCTGTTTAATTGGTTTTAGTGGTAAAAATTGAATAAATATCATTGTAGTAGTAGGTTTGTTATTATTATTATTATTATTATTATTAGTAGTAGTAGTAGTAGTAGTGGTGGTGGTAGTAGTTTTTGGTTATATGTGGCTCTACATGTTCTATTTTGTCTGTTCCACCTTACAAAATCTCAGAAAAACTAAATGTCAATCATGAATCATGAAAATATCTTAAAGTATCAAGATATAATATTTTGGTAACACGTTCTATGAATGTCACCTTTGTAAGCATCTATAAACACATTCATAACATGTTATAATGCATTCGCAAGGCATCATAACCATGGCTATAAATATTTATAAAACTGTATTACATGTTATAGCCATGCTTATTATGCATTATAAATTGTTAACATAATGCATTATAAGTACGGTTCATAACAAATTATAAGAGCTCATAAGTTGTATTTGTCCGCTCTAAGTAAAGTGAAGCGTACTGTACTAAAGCCTCCTCCAGTGTTAAGAGTGAGGCTTCAAGTTGAAGTATTTACTGAAGGATTTACTGAAACACTAAAACATTCACAATAAAGCACATTACAGGCTTCAAATGTCAGAGTTTAAACTAGTGCTGCATCAGTGTTTTACCCAATGTGGGAAAGTCAATGTACACCACCGTTAGCTTGGTATTTGTCTTTACTTTACGATCTCCAAGCTGGGACTGACTTCTTTGGCACTGACACTATAACATGTTATTAACACTATTTATAATGCATTATATTAACGATTCATAATGTATAATAAACATGGCTATAAAGTGTAATTCAGTGTACTTCCTCTTTTATAAATATTTATAACCATGTTTATACTGCCTTATGAATGCATTGTAATGTTATAAATGTGTTTATAGATGCTTACAAACATGACATTCATAGAAAGTATTACCAATATTTTTGCCATACTGTCCACCCCTAACTGTCCCTCACTAATGCTCAAGTAGGAGCATCAAGTACTTTATATCTCAACATAGTCTCTTTTGTGAGAACAATGCACTGATAGAGAACGGGCACTAACTTATAGTGATGTGCAAAAGTTACGCTGTCTATGGGCACAAACTTGGGGCGAACATTGGTTGGGAAGGCAGAGCTCTTTAAACTTATGTTCTAATCCAGCAAACTGTGGGTGGATAAAAAAAAGGTTCAATTTTTTAGTCTCATTCCTAAAACGTTCAGATGACTCTTGTCCCAA